TTGGCTCTGTTGTCAGGCCCCTTTTATAATTTGCCCTTAATTAAGTTTTAAAACAGTTGTATTATTTGATTTAATCTTCTCTTCCTCGAGCTCAATTTTGAATTCAGTCTCATTATGATCACTACTTAGAGGCGGAGGTCTATCAATCCTATCTCCATTGCACATTACCAGTTCAGCTGCTCTCCTGGTTGGCTGTAGAACATGCTACTCTGTGATACTATCTGAAAAGAATTTATGATCTCATCTTCCAGGTTACTCTTACCAATCTGTTCCGAATAAATTCACCCATGACAATCACTTTTTTTACCTTTTTTCTCAGAAGGCCTGTTATTGCTTCCTGCATACTCCATCCCTTGGGCACTCTGACAGAAACCATTCTATAAATCACTCCCACAACTGACTTTCATGCCTTTGCCAGTTCTCATCAATACCCAAACTGAACATCCTGAGCTTGAGGGCTAAGGTTGTCCCCCTCTCTATTGTATTAATCCCACCCTTAATTAACAGATCTGCTCCTCCAACTATTCCTAGCTTTCTGTCTTTCCTAAATGTCACATTACATTTGAATGTTTAGGCCTGCTGTGCTCATGCTGTTAGCACAAGAAATTGTCGATTCTTTTCCCTCTCTCTTCACCCTTACTCTCTGCTTCTGATGCTCGCACCCCCCAATCCCAACCACCACCCACTCTCATAAAACAACAACACCCCCGCCACCCTGTGTGGACTGGGGGGGTAACGAAAGACTTTTCAATTTGATTTTCAAGTGGTAGATTGTGAAAATAACCTTCTCAGCACTAGCAATTAGGTTATACTTTCAGTTAAACAAAATATTTGTCATTTTAACGCTTATCAGCTATCACTGAATCAGATTTCAATATGACATTCTACCTTTTAATTGGGGTCTGAATTTAAAGTGATGTGTTTCCTTTACCTGTTTTGTCGTTGTTGTTTCTGCTTTTCCAGGAGAATATGTGGCTCAGTTCAAGTTCACTGTGCTGCTCATGCCAAATGGCCCAATGAGAATCACCAGTGGGACATTTGAAAATGAGCTGTACAAGTCTGAATTGGATGTGAAGGACCCTGACTTAAAGGTAAGTCCTGTAAAGAAGCCTCATTTAAAACTGATCTTCATTTTCAGTTCCTTTGCAATCAGGCAGACTCAAAATTGAACAAAAAAAATAATCAAATGCCCAATAAGTTTTGATGTATTTTTCGCAACGTTTCTGTTCCTCAGTTTTAACCAAACAAAATTATACTGTTCTTGTAAACTTTTTAATGCAGTCTTTCTGCATCCTAATTTCCAAGCTTGGTACTTTTTAATGAAACAGCTGAAGATGGTTGGATCTAGGACACAACCATGTGGAACTCCTACAATGATATCCTGGAACTAAGTTGATTTGACTTCCCACAACCATTCTCCTTTGAGCTGGAATGAATGACTCCAGTCAATGGAGAGTTCTCCTGATTCCCGTTGATTTCAGTTTTGCTAGGACTCCTTGATGCCACACCCGACCATATGCTGCCTTGATATCAAG